ACGTTATCGTATCAGTGGAACGAGCAGTGAGCGGAGGTCTCGCGATGGCGGATCACGAATGGGGATACACCGGCGAGAACGGTGAGTAGCCGTTCACCTCTTTTCCTCAATAAACACCGACACTCTCAGATGCGAACGCGGACCGGTTTGTTTACACCGTAGCACGTGACTTTACCCATGTAAATAAAAGTTTAAAAAACTCTGCAGCCATCACCTTTAAGTATTCCACTAGTTACGTTACGTAAATAGTCATATAAATAAGGTAATGGAAACAAATATGAGTCATTATAACAATTATGTTGAAACAAGCGGCTTAAACTTGATGATCTATTTACCTTATAAGTACATTCATTGAACCAAAGTAAATCTTTCATTAATACTTTATTTATTTTAATAAGCTACCAATATTTCTGCATAATTAGAAGGTAAACATGAATCATAAAATTATAATAACTGCTGTTGTGTACCGCACAGTTTCACGGTAGTTAAAATAACTTAACGTTGAAAAATATATTTTGTTTCTAATAGATATAGTATCATTAAATCATATTTTTTATAAACGTTAAAAAATATGTTTAAATTTGACTACCGTAATGTAAGGACAAAAGACACGCATCAGATTTGTCCCACTTATTTGTTTGTGTAACAGAGCCGGTTTGATGATGTCCACGGCACGCTCATTTAACTCTCTACTTTTTTGTCATTGTTTATGTTTCGAGAACGTAATGTATATTAATTATAATTTATGCGATGATTTGCATACTGAAATGCATAAATATGAATCATTACTTAGCGGCGGTAGAAAATTTAACACAAGCAAAATTAAGAGTAAGCACAGTCGAGGATTTTCCTATACGAAATTTTAAAGCAGATTTTGGTACATTGATGATATTTAAATTTTTATAATACAGCAAGTTAAGTAACTTAAAAACACGTCTCATAGTCGCATAACTTAATCTTAAAGATAATGAATCTGTTGTGTAATTTGTTATCCTTTAACCGTGCAACAAGTTAAGCGTTAAACTTGTAGCGTTGAATAACTTAAGTATGCTTTGATATGCTAAATTGAGGTTTTAAAAATAAAAATAAAACTCAATAGCTTCATACTAATTACTTAAGATTGCTTGCGTAATACGTTAAGCAATCCATTTTTGTTATTCACGGTTTTAAAATTCAGACATCAAATCTGTCATTAGTGAATTTTGCTTAAACATTTGTCATTTGCGAAGCGTAACAAATGAAAGTAAATGCTCCTTTTTATTACAGCTATTGTTTAAGTCGGTCTGTTATCTGAACTATTATGTACGGATCTATTCATATGGTATATGTCTATAGTCAACGCTACGTGTCTAATTTAGTAGATAATATCCAATCGACACAACATTTCGGACGTTTTTGGTAAACTTTGACAACGAAATGTTGTCAATTCCCTCGATTCAAGCCAAAAATAAGAAGAAAAATGATCTTAAATACCGTTATACATGTATCTTTTAATTTGTATCGAATCTTTTTAATACTTTCTAGTATTTTCTAAGCGAGTGAAAGTCGATACCACATTACATAACCTAAATTATTTAATGACTTCTATTGCAATGTTACAATTTAATTTCAGATTAATTGACCTCAGAGTTATTGTCCAAAATGACAAATCAAGGAAATATGCGTTTTAATTTCTATTTAAATCACAATTATACATTTCACTTTATTGAACAATCGGCTATAAAGAAGATACTTATGTTGTATTTTCTTGATAATGCAGATAACTGCGATAGTATCAACTCGCTTAGTCAATAAACTATTAAGTATTTCAATTAGTTTTCTATTTATATCTATAATCTATGATAATTTTAAACATAACCATAGATGGTAACGAAAGGTTTTTAAGCCATTTGACTTTTGTTTAAACACTGGCAATCTAGAGATGAATAAAAGAGTAAATCAAATCAAATACAAAATACAAAATTTGATATTCCTGTATAATTTATTAGTGTGGCGGTGTTTGTTTACTACTAGGAGTGCATGAATAAAACATCTAATAAGTATTCATCTAATACTGCGTCTGGATAAAAGCCTGTAATGTAAATGAAACCCTTATTTTGTAATAAACATTAAAATACTGATCAGCTTGTTAATAACATAGCAACTGGTCTAATAAGCGAACATTTTTATTAAACAAATAGCAAATACTTGTTATTATGTTAATTACATCAAACAAATGTTTATAATTAATGGAAACATTTGCTTAAAATGGGTTCTAAGAAATTACATTTATAAATTCTCAGGGGGCAATGTTGCAATCAAGTTTATGTTAAGAATGTTTTAAAACACGCGCTATATGAAAATTAGTAGCAGTACTAGTAGTGGAAGCTTTGGCATCGCCAAGGAGGTGGAGGCTGAGAGACATATAAAAAGTAAGACTATATTAATAAGCTCCCTAGACCTAGCCAGATCAGCTGGCAGACCACGATGGAGCTACCTTTTAGAACATTTGTGATTTTCTTTCATCAAACAGTTAATTTCAGAATTTATATGAAAAGATTAAAATTCAAGGTTTCGTTCATATCAATTCTGTATAAATTTACACATTAATTAATTATGTAAAAAAGAAAATATTATGTAAATTTCTTTACCTGTCATCTGTGCTTTTATGTGACTTAGGCCTTCTATCCTGGACTTGTTTGTTTAGATACGTTACGAGCTTTGTAAATATATGGTTGCGAATCTAGGGATTATCAAAACGTATGTTTGATATTTACATTCTCTATGCAAGTTATAAATAAACTAAGGTAACTAAATAACTTTAAAATAATCTTAGTAACTCGTCTGTGAACACGATGTCGGAGAACAAAGCTGTAATTAAGAATTTAATTGCTAACAGATGTAAATAATTATTTAAATTTTGCAATATCTCATGAGTTTTTTAAATCAATTTACTTGGTTTATCAAAATATTCTTAATATTAGGTTAGTATTATATTTTTGACCGACTTCCCAAAAGAAGGAGGTGTTCAAATCGACTATATGTTTTTTTTTTAACAAATTCAATCGATATTATTTGTGAATTAATGAATTATAATCGAAACAATTTAATAGTAATAATACAATTTAATAGTAACTAGGAGACTATAAGTAACATATAAACTTATTAGGTGCAGATATAAGAAAACACCATCTTAACATTTAGCCCATTCTTTACGATTTCAATTCTTGACAGCAGCGCTTTAAATATGTCGCTTACAAACATGTAGTTTTTTTTTAATTAAGTTACTTTACTTTAAACGTAACACCGAATCTATTTACAATAATTTTACAATGTACAAAATTAAATTCATAGTAAAATAGCGTGGGTGCTTTGCGCCCGCGGCAGTTCTAGTTGGTACTATAGCCTTGTTAGTTCTATTGCGGAAATATAGGTTAATAGTTGATAGATGTGTTTTTAATATTTTTTACTCAAATATTTTATTAGTTTGCTCATTATAGTAAATTAAAAACGCAGTTAGAGTTTAAGGATTCACTACTTATTTGTAATTTAAATGGTAAAGGTCATCAAGTGACTTCCTATTGTGTTGATTTCGATAACGTTATCTGTACTAATTAATGAATGTTCTGCTAATAAAATAAATAGGAAGTTTTTTAAGTAACTACTTCTAGTTTAGAGTATGTATAATTCACACTATAAATATAAAATACTAACTGTTGCTCTTGACTTCGTTCGCGTGAAATCAATATTTATAAAAAATCTACTAGCATTCGACCGCGACTCCGCGCGTTTAAAAAAAAACAAAAGCAAATAGCCTATGGGTCCTTCCAGGCTATCCTCTACATATATCCCAAATTTCATCGAGATCCGTTCAGCAGTTTAGGCTACAAACTCTAACAAACATCCATCCATTTAAACTTTCGCCTTTATATTAGTTAGATGTTACTTATTGATAACATAGCTTTTTAGTTGTTCCAATACATACAAACATCACATCTTTCCACTTTATGACATTAGTTAATATAAATAAAAACTGCCAAGTCTTGCTTCCCTCACGAAAATGTGTTAGATTACATGGAAAACTAGTCATTTTAGTTAGTGTCTATTATAAAGCCTTGGTTACACAGCACCATAATTTTGAAAGACCACTTACTATTAATCCCATTTATATCAAAACAAAAGATACAATTACACCTAATAGTGAACAGATGTTAAGGGAAAGTACATACACATTTAATAAGAGGCAGTTACATAGTTTCATTTAAGAGGGATCAATAGCTTCAATTGAATGATGCGCAGTCGTTAACAAAGCAGAACCTTTGTTCCGTCCGAGCGCACACGCAAATGCTGTAATCGTTTCACTTGGTCTGAGATGACCTTGCCATTGCTACATAGATTTACTCTTAACTTTAATACAAGTCGGGCGTTATTTAAAATGCAATAATTTCAAGAGTCGATAAATATTCCGCTTCATTTCATGCAATGATTTGATTAATCATTTTCTTTGATAGCTTCTTAACTTATTTAAATACAATCGCAGACCTTTCTTAACTATCCCTTTTAAAAAAACAACTTTTAACTTCTAAACTAAAATGTAACATAAATTATAAAGCTTTTAATCGAATTTTTTTACCTAAATTGTGTTCTTTGATAGTCCATTGAATAAAAAATAGATAGGTCATCCTCGTCTTAAGATATATGTTTAAAAAAATTATGGACCTTCTAAAGAAGTTACTGGATTATCTGATAAAATAAGTAGACGAGTCTAATTTGTGTTTTTATTACGGTGTCGCTGTCAAGTGAATTAAAAAGATAAATACAATAACGGCGAGATAAACCGGGCCGAGGCCGATGACGATGATTTGTTTGTTGTAGCCACGGAAACATTGATTAATAATTGTAACAAAATATAAACTCTTACGCTATTATGCTAAACTAGACATATAATAACCATTAATATGAATGACCGAAATATAAACTAAATAAACTGGGCCTGTAATTTAACATTATTTTGTATGTTTCAAATTTATTTGTAAGTCTTCTTACATATAGCAACAGATACGTTTAAATTTCACACAGGTCTTAACATTAACTCCAAAAAC